TGGAAAGGCTTCTAAGAGAGGATAATGTTTAAACTTACAAGGAGAGGAGTTAACCAGAAGGGAAGGGGAAGCTAAGAGAGTGTTCCAAACACAGGAAACAGCAGGTATAAAAGTCCAGAGGCAAGAGAGAATAGACAAGATCCAGTTCTACTGCAGACCAGCTTGGGAAGGGATAATGCTGAGAGAAGCTGAAAAGGCAGAGAAATCTTGTAAAGCAACTTAAAGAGTATAGACTTTAGTTCAAGAGCAGTGAGGAATTATTGAAAGGTTTTAAGCAGGGAAATGAAATGATCAGTTTTGTGTACAGATAGTTCCCAACCCCCAATGGTTTGACATACAATTTTGTGACTTTGCAATGGAGTATACATTCAGTATGCGCCTCACCTATGGTTACATCCTCACCATGGGGTTACAACTTAAACCCATTTTAAGTTGAAACTAGCGTCAAGTCAAAAGTGCGCTTTCACCTTATGATATTTTCAATTTGAGGGGTTTATCTGAATGTAGTCTCATTGTAAGTTGAAAAGCATCTGCATTAAAAAAAATCACTTGACCTCAGGGTATAAGATAGATGGTAGGGAACAAGCCTTGACCAAGAGACTTTTGCATAGGTTGAGGAAAGAAAAGATGGCGGCCTAACATAAATAGTGGTGATGAGGGAAGCACAGATTTGAATGGTGTTTAGGAAGCAGAAATGATAGAACTTGGTGAGTGATAGGACTTGGTAGGATTTGAGGTTAGGGGAGAAGGCGGACACAGGGTTGATGTGCAGGTTTCTAGCGTAAGAGTTAAGTAATTAATGGTGTCATTTGCTCGGGAATGCTGGAGGAGCCAGTTTCAGGAGGCAGAGATGAGATCAGTTTAGGATGTTGGGTGCCTCTGAGACAACCAAATAGAGATGCTAGTAGTCAGTTGAGTTTTTAAGTCCAACAAAGTGTGGGCTAGAGACACATTAGGGAGTTATCTGTACATACAGATCGTAATTAAAGTCTTGGGGATAGCCGGGCTCGGTGGCTCAGCCTGTAATCCCGCACCTTTGGGAGGCTGAGGTGAG